TAATAATAATAATAATAATAATAAGCATATCAGATAATGCTTTGTCATTCTAAGCAAAATGGTACATACGAATATTTACAATCTATGCAAAAACATCGGCATTCATATCCATCCACAAGGTCGCAAAACAAATATTCTGAGACTGATGTATAGTTTGTGTAAAAGTTTACCATATTCTGCCGTGTTATTGAGTCCTTGGCTATAAACGTCGTATTGCAAAGCTGGCCTGTGGGTCATTCCATGTTATAGATTGTGCATCTTTTTCAGTAGCAGATTTAGTTGAAATAGAATACAGTGCATCCTCGTCAAAACGTCGATGAATTACTGAAGAAATATGAGTCGAATTCCTCACACTAAAGAAAATTGAATCATGTGCATATTTCTACCCCAAAAATTGATAAATTTATTCTCTTTCTGTTAGCTTAGCCAGTTAGTATTCCTTACAATGTCATAATCAATAATGATGTCTGAATATGATAGCGTGAAACAGAGACAACGTGTGTCACTTAAGCTCCAACGCTCTTGCATTATTTACATTGGCTTTCTGACACTGAGATCAAAATTACAGCATAAAGCATGAAGACGTGGTGACATTTACATGTATCTTGTTTGACTTGCACTTACTCAAGCGTCTTCTGTTAGCCTACTCTGCTATCGTTTAAAGGTTACTTGTGTAAACAAACTGCACTCTGTGAAATCCATACCGTCATTTGTCTACTGATCTTTTTTATTACAGGATTTGACGACTACTTTTTAAACTTGACCCTGAACAACTCAAGAAATCCGTGGTTCAAGGAGTTTTGGGCTGATATATTCAACTGCAGTGTGGGGGATTTCCGGAAAGGAGCGAAAAAATGTACAGGTGAGTGAGTGTAAATTACAATAATAGTAACTTTAATAGCCCAGTAATAATAATAATAATGATAGTTGCAATTTTATTTCGCATTTCAACGCTCAGCAGCATGTTCCGTGCCCTTTACAACCATCATCACCCCCAGCAGACTCTTGGATACATAGAAACGAATGTGAATCTTTGATCCCTATTTATTCTGCAATAAAATGTACAATAGTAAAGATTAAACACAACGAAAAGCTGGTTATCAACGTTACCTAGTCAAAGCAGTTCAAAATTCAACTTGGGGTGAGTTTCAAACTTATAGACAACAATAATTCCAGAAGAATGAAATGGGCATACCTATTTCAGCCGCTACCCTCAATAAGGTTGACCATCAGCGATGGTAAGACGTGTTTTTCCCCACCCTAACACTTGTCGACAGAGTAAGATACAAAGAAAAGAAGGACGAAGATAAGGGCAATAAGAGTTAGATAGGAAAGAAGAAACAAACCACATCAGAGCGCCTGCCAACTAACCACGAATTAAATCTACCAAGGCTTCCTCACCCTCCTCCTCCTCCTCTCTGGCCCAACGATAGACTGATTAAAAGAAAAAAAATAAGAAATGAGAAGCCACAGCGTCAGTTTGAGAGCAGAAGCATTCTTGACACACTTCTCAAACCCTCCGTACTTTTAAAACTCACAAGGACACACAGAGAGCAAGTAGAACAATACGGTAGTTTGGAAGACTTACAAATAGATGTAATCATATTATGTGAGGCATCGTGGTGAAAATCACGTGCTCGACAAAATATTGAAATCGAAGAGACCGGCTTCTTTCGATCGGTCAGACAATTTTATTCGATTCTGTTGATGTTGTTATTGTTTGTTTGCTTTTTTGTTTGTCTTCGAGTTGTTGTTTTTCTGTTTTGTTCTGGCACAGCACGTTTTATATCCATTTAAAAACATGAATATACTTGAGTGGATTTTACTGACGAATGTTGATCAAAGGCAAACAAAATAATAAATGTTCATTCTTTAAGGACTCTCAAGCTATGGAAGTCACCAATCTTTGGCGGCAATTTTCTTGCTAATTTAACGACTGACAATTGCAAATATCTCGGCTTCTATTCAAGATGGATGGGTATTTTTTTATAATGGAAAGCAAGGCAAAAGAACATGCTTTAATTAAGATGATAGCATAACTTCATATGCCCAAACATTGACGAGCACCTGATTCCACCGCGTCATGAAACATACTATCACAGCCTCACGAGAAGACAATGTTATGAAAAGAAAGGAGAACATGAAACCCTTTCAGTGTCCACTCTGTCACTTTAACCACTCGGCAGGAGCGGAAGATCTACGGAACTGGTCAGCGTACAAGCAGGAAGGTCTGGTCCAATTTGTCATCGACTCGGTCTTCGCACTTGCCCATGCCGCTCACGACATGCTTATGGCTCACTGTCCGGACACGCTTGTCAGATGTCCGGCCCTCAAGCAGCTTAGTGGACCAGAGTTCTTGCAGTTTATACGGAATGTTACTTTTCAAGGTAATTACTTATCCTGAAGCGTAAGCGGTTGTTTTTTGTTTTGTTTTTGTTTCTGTTTGTTTGATTGCTTTAATCTTTCCTTTAGCTTGTGATGCTTGTGAATCTTTCCGTGTTACTTTTTTTTTCAAATGTTTCAATCTTTTCTTTAACTCTTGATGCTACTTGTTTAATTTTCAAAATGTGATCTATGATTTCTGTCTGTCTGTCTGTCTGTCTGTTTGTCTGTCTGTCTAGAGTCTCTCTCTCTCT